CAGATTGAAGAGGGGGGGGGGTGGAACGTACCTAAAACAGATCACATCATCCTCTTCGTACCAGGTAACAACACGCCGAGTATCATCTTTGGGTACAGGAAACAGGTGTGTCAGGATCGATCGGACGCGTTGCCCGAGTTTTGTGTTGAGTCCCCGTATGATGTGGTTCGGATAAGCTTGAGGCATTTTGGCCCCAGTGCCTCGACCGACTTCCTCCAATTCATGTCGAGCCTGGACATTGTATAGGGTGAATACAGCTGTCGGCCCAAAAGGTAAGTGGCTAATAGTCAACGTGTCCGGAACACCGCGGGTTTCGTTCACAATCACCAAGTCAGTGATCTAATTTGTTCAGGGACAGAGTTGAGATGAATAAACAGGAGTGGATGGCATTAAAGATCAACAATGGCAACAGAATTGGCGGAAATATGCACACAAAAAAACAAAGTGCAACAAACAGAGCGATATATACAAATGTGCGCATCGACGTGCATAACAACACATTACATACATACATACATACATACATACATACATACATACATACATACATACATGCATGCATGCATACATACATACATACGTACATAAATACGTACGTACATGGGGTATGAAAACCCTAACCAAGAGACTGGATCCCATAAGTCCCGTTAGGTTCCTTGGCTGGTGACCCCGAGATCATGGTCATCAAGGGTTAGAGACACCGAATGCATGGTTAATGGTTGTAAAAACTGATACTGAAACATACATACATGCCCGCATTGTATTTGAATTTCACACAGTTTTGAATCCAAGCTGTATCCAAACAAATCATAGTACAATACTCCTTACCAGATTAAAGCGAAAGCTTCATGATTTATTTATAGGCGGAATACTGCCGGGTTACCCAGGTGAACTTTCTTAGGGAGATCACGACCGGAGCCTTAGGCTAACCAAAGACTGACCCGAGAGGCAGCGGGGCGATGTGCGAAAACCGTGATCCATTTGGGGGTTCTGTTCATCGGATCATACGCCCTTTGGAAGGGATCAAACGTCCAAGGTGACCAATGTCACAACCAGGAAGGTGGGTGCGTGATTCGTACGCCTCTTCTTGGTCTGGAATCAGGTTTTTAACCAACTCCCCTGGGTGAACTACTACGGGTTCACCAACCCGGCTGTAGCCCGGGATACTGACTTTTCGTTCTCTGATTTTGGTGGTGGGAAAACAACTCCGCCAAGAGAAGGCAGTGAGCGGAGTTTTCTCAGCTAGTTGAGACGCTTGATCGTATATGGACATTCGTAAGGTGCAAGGGAAGGGAGATCAGCAACTATCCAACAAACCGACCACACTGAGGCTTTCGGAGACATAACAACTCAAACATACTGGAATGCAATAGTGAAACGTTTCAATTCCTTAATTGGACAATCACACAAAGTCCAAATGTTCTTCTCTCAATAGTTCACAATCAGACGAGAGATCTGACGATTCTATTAGAATTACGCCACTGTGCGACTAAGCTGCATAAAATGGAAACATCCTCCTCGTCCTCCTCGTACAGTAAGATACAAGGAATGAAACCTCGCTGATAAGTGACAGGCTCATACTACACAAAGCGGGTGCTAAAGTAGATGTTTATAGGAAAAAGGTACTGTTTCTGGATATCGGGAAATGAAGTGAACCTATATGGTCTGACTGTGCAAACACACCTTTTCAAACATTCTGATCGGATGAGAAATAACAACTAGAACGCTACAAGGGTGTCAGTTTGCGGCCATGCGCTTCAATGTTTCCAATTAACCAATAACAGTCTTTAAGAACCCGACCAAAACAATGAGACATTGATTTTACCCAATAACTCAGTAAATTTTTTTGTGCCTGGCCCCCTCGTCTTCGGAAATCAAACGTGATGCGGGAAAGTGGTTAAGGCACATAAGAAGGAATCCACTCTCATCAGCCCCGTCTGTCTTTTATCTATTCCACGCTAGAATACAAGTTTCTACATTCAGTTTTGTCGGGAGTTCACCTGACACCGCCAATGGAACTTCAGATGCAACCGCCATAGGTAGCTGGCTAACACTAGACCAACTTAGTTGTTCGTAGAATATGTCTGCCCAGCGACAAGCTGCAGTACGCCTGAACACTGATCACCATCATCATCATCATCATTGTACAGCGAAATGTAGTGAAGTGAAATTCACAGATCAGTACCAAAATAGCCATGTAAACAAGATAAGTAAGATTAGTTAAGCCGGTCGGGTATTGGCCTATTTTCAGGAAGAGGGAAAGAAAGTGAACCTCCATGGTCAACACACAGACAGCACAGTCCTTCGGTGCATACATGCTACAGACATCCGGTGATCTATATTCGTTGATCAGCGCAAACATCAAAGAGCACGCGACATACGGATCTCCCTGGGGTTAGGTATTCTGTTGCATCGCACCTCCAGCACATGTCGAACAGAATGAAAGAGCTTGTGCATTGCGAAGGAAAAACCTAACCAACTGGTCAGTCATTCAGGATTCCGGTGTTCTGAGGATCCGCCACTTCAAAGCGAGGATCTGTTTAAACACCTGTAGCACAGGTACAAATTGATTCCCAGTGTGATCTACTTTTCAACCCAGGAGAAGCGCTCAAACAGACACTTAGACAGATTGTATGTGTTAAGCATCAGTAACAGTCATAGAGGAACAATATGGTGAACAAAACCATGTGCTATGCGCTGTGGAAAACAGGTCACTAAAAGGCCCGGTTTCCAAGATTCGTAAGCCGATCATTTGAGCTTTTCTACTTCACACGAGACAACAAGCAAATCACAATCCAGGATTTGCTCATTTTCTTGGATAGGCGGGCGCATGGGGGGGGAAGCACACGGGCAGGACATACTCACTTGTCTAGCCAGACAGGCATCAATCAGGTCTTTGTTCTGATAATTGCCCCGATTGATTTTGGTCGCATTCGGGATGAGAAAACGTAGCTCTTTTGCAAATTCTTTCAAACGAGAACTGGGCGATCGGGATGTGGTAATCACGACACGAGGATCTTCTGTTCCCGCCCAATAGTATTCATCATCTTCCGCATTCGCCACTCC